CTGAGCTCCTCCCAGGTGCTTCCTCTGCGGGCTCTGGCCTGCAAAGGAGGTCAACAACAGTTAAACTCTGGCTGCTTAAAACCCTCAGGACGTCGGTGGAAGCCTCCCTCGGGGCACGCCGGATGTGACGCTGGACACTCGCTCGATAAACATTTTGCTAAGAAGCCTCAGCGAAGAAGCCTGTGCTGCTTGGTACCTGGCCCTGACTGGCAAGGGTGAGGGGGAAGGACGGATGGCCAGCTTACACAGGAAAAAAAGGGGGTAAATCGAGCTTTTGGAGTACCTGAAAGGTGATCTTGGAGGGATTCAAGAGCTGGCTTTGGAATTTAAAGGCTGTGCATTACAGCAGGACTGGGAGCATTTTCACACTTTGTTAGTTGAGTGTATTTGGGACAAACATCAAGAGTTAGAGTATGTGGAGGACGCTTACCTGAGGAAGTGGGGTGATTTAAAAACAAATAATTGGACAGCAATCTTAGAGACACCCTAAGTTGGGACTTGCTACCTTTCCTCCGTGGGCAGGACAGATCCAGGAAAGAGACAAATGAAAGCATAAACCGGGTGCAGTGAGTCTGGAAAAGGTTTAAGACTCTTTAAACAGTAAGTGCAAGATTAGCACATCGAGTTGAAGGTCCTTGCTGTTTGACCACTTATACATTTTGAAAATGTGGACATAAATTCTTGGAGGAAGTAGAAAACAGCGTTTACATTAGATTCAGGAATTCTACAGTAGCCCGTAAGTGGCTGCATTCTCCAAAATAAAACAAAACCTTGAAAACACCATAAAATATAGAATGACTAGTCAAGATATTGAGTGGGAATCAAACGCTGTGTGTGTGTGTGATGAAATTGTGAACGTTTAGAAGCCTAAACTGGACCTGGCATCTCAAACCAATACATTCTAACACTCCAGAAACTAAGGCAGGGCAGGAGGATCACACAGATTCAAGGCTAGCCTAGGCTACCGAGTGAACTCAGTTCTAAAATTAATAATGAGCCAGTAAAGATGGCTTGCCACCCAGCCTGAGGACCTGAATTCAATCCCTGAAATACACATGGTGAAAGGAGAGAACCCACACCAACAATTTGCCCTCTGGTGAGTACCCACACACAAAGAAATGTAAAATAACAAAACAAATTAATAATAGGTAGCCAGAGTTGTATCTCATTACTGGCTACTACCTCTCCATGACTGTAAAAACTCCTCCTAAGTGTCCTTCAAGTGCAGTCAAATACCATAGCATTTTTTTAAATTCAGACAACCTGTTGTGGTGGTGTATGCTTGTAATCCCAGCACTCAAGAGGTAGAGGCAGGAAGGACACACGGAGTGACCATTCTCCAAAAGCAAACACATTTACCCCTAAACTTTAAAATTCAAGGGCTTATAGTATATTACAGAGGGAAGGGACATTAAAATACGAGTAATATTTGTTGTAATTTTAAAAAGCCGCACTCAAGAGAAAAATGTCATGCAACAGAGCTTGGCTGAAGGGATGTTTTATTGAGGAAAACTGAATGGAAAAAGCGGGGAGGGGAGAAGGGAGACAGGTCTCTGGGGACAGGGGCAGCAGAAAAGATAGAGGCAGAGAGAGAGGAGAGACAGATGAAGAGGGAGAGAAAGAAGGATGGGAGGCGGGCAGGGCCCTTTTAAAAGGGAACATAGTGAATGTGCACAGGTGGGGCTCTTAGTGGCTGCAGCTGAGGGCATATCCTGTCAGAACCCCAAGGACAGGCCAGGACAGATGCCTGAATACCAACCTTCCTCCCTTTTCATTTATTATAAAAAAGGTGAGGAGTTAGAAAGGGGTAGCAGATGAGGTGAGGATGAGTACACCGTGTTCTCAAGACTATTTCCTGCTGACCTAAGGGGTGTTGTTCATCCTTGGGGGACCTGGGAAAGCTGGGGTGCTAACCATTTCCTGGAGTAGCTGGCTGTTTCCCTTCACTGTCCAGGCTCTAAGGAATCATCAGACGCCACCGGGATCTGGCGAAATGCTGTTGGAGGTGGATCCAAGTCGATTCCCTGTGGCGTAAAGCACCTGACCCTTTCCCATCCCCACAGCGTCACCGGGACAAGTTTGAGAGTCTTGTGCCTCCAGTTCTGTGGCCAACAGCTGGTAGTCCAACAACAGCTGATTAGGAATGGCCAGTGGGTCTCCAGAAAACATCCCAATGGAAGGTGTAAATTCAGAGAGGGTTGACTTGGAGACAGGCACAGGCTGCTCAGTGATTTGTCAAACACAGCAGGTACCAAGGGCTCTGAGCCTGAAAGACACACAGTTGCCTGGTACCAGGACCTTGAGAAAAGCCAGAAGGCGAGGAGAAGATTGTGCTGGAGAAATGAAGCCTCACATCCAGGGGAATGGTCAGAAATGGGTAGCCCCGCCAGAGACCCAATTGCCAATACTGAATGGAAGGCAAAGTCACCAGTGAACAAGAAAGCAGATCTATTAAGGGTGGAGCAGGGGGGTAGGGGCCCAATGTGAAGTTATTACAAAGGGCCTGGAAGACGATTTCTGTAAACTTATGCCTATGAATGAAGCAGAACAAGATCCAATGGTTTTTAATCAAGCAAGGATCCAGCAAGAAAGACACAAGCTGCCAGACGATTCATGAATCAAAGGGCCAGGGTGGTAGAACCCAAGGATAGCGTTCTAGACACGCATAGGCCTCCCAGAAGTTCATCAAACAAAGGGCAGAGGCCAAGGGCTCCAAGTCTAAAAGAGCCGTGGTTACCTGGTACCAGGGCTTAAACCAGTCCAAAAGGCAAAAACCATGCTGGAGAGATGGAGTCCTCACTCGTGGGAATAGCCAGAAGTGGGGAAAGGGTAGGGCTCACCAATCCAGTCATGCTGGTTTTGGATGGAGGGACCCAGAGATCCAAAGAGGGGATTGGCGTATGTGGACCAGGTTCCCTTTGTGCCTCAAACTGCCTGCAGGTAGAAACGCCAGGAGAGCCTTTGCGGGTCAGGGAATCAATGTTGTAATTTTAAGAAGTGGAGCACAAGAGAAAGCCATGCAAAGACCTTGAGTGGAGTGGGTTTTTTTTTTCCTTTTTTTTTTTTAATTGTGGAAAAGTGAATGGGAAAGGGGGAGAAGGGAGACTGGCTCGGGGGGCAGGAGCAGTAGAAGAGAGGAGAGAAAGACAGAGAGACAGGCAAGGAAGCAGAGAGTGAGAGAAGGAGGAGGAGAGAAAAATGGGAGGTGAGGGGAGCAGAGCCCTTTTAAAAGGGAGCTCAGGTGGGGCTCTTAGTAGCTGCAGCTGAGGGCGTATCCTGTCAGAACCCCGAGGACAGGCCAGCACAGATTCCTGAACACTAACAATATTGCAATATTGAGTACTACAAAAACCTGAACTTCTCTAACATGCAAATATAACGTAAGAGAAGAAATTATTAATTTGATATCGAAACAAATCCAGTGACCAGAAAGTCTTTGTGGAGGGGTTGGAAAAGTGGATCAGCAACTGAGAGCATCAGCTGCTTTTCCAGAAGATCCAGCTTCAGTTTCCAGCACCCACATAACAGCTCACGGCTGTCTGAAACTCCAGCAGTTCCAGGGGATCCGACGCTCTCACACAGGTTTACGTGTAGGCAAAACACCAATCACATAAAATAAAAATAAACAGCAAGAAGTCGTCGTCTCTGTGAAGGAAGAAATGTCTGAACCAGGTTTTTAAAAACTTCTGTGAAAACCACTCTTAAGCTGACGTTCCCAGCTTGGCGGGCCGCCATGTCTTCCCATGAGCTGTTTGTATGTCCAGAGCTCACTTCCATTTCAGAATTAGTTCCATTATTTTTCTCTTCTCTGCACAATGACTTTTGTTTTATTAACTTGGCATGAAGTTTTGGGTCAGGAAATTTCATGGAATTTTGCCCTAACATAAAATGTAGTATCTCCTTTTATTCTGAATGTCAGTCACAAAGCACACTTGTACAAGCATTAGCAGTATCCATGGTTTGCAGTCAGATGAAATGAGCAATGTTTTCAAATTCTATTACAGATAACAACATTTAATATCCATTACTAGCTGAAAATTATAGTAAGGTCTACCACGAGATCTTGTTTTTTAATGACTTAAGATGAATGCATGCACAAATTTATTTTTTTAAGAGTACTCTGTAGCAATTTTGATACACTTCATGATTCATTTCATGCTGCCAGAGTATCTATTCCAAAAGTGAGTGACAAGGGTTTGCTATAGCATTGAAGAGGTTGACAAAAGGAAAATAAACACTAGGTATCATTCTTGGAAATCACCTCTCCTAGTAGCAACCCAGCCTTCTGAATTGACCAGATAAATACTTATTCTAAACACAAGTATTTCTGACTTTTATGAGAAATATATCTATCTTTGTAATGTTAATCCTACAGAGGGGAGTAGACCACCAAACCAAATTACCATGCCCGAATTAATTAAAGCAGTCTGTTTTTATTCCTGTACACAGGCTGCCTTAACCTAAAGGTGGGGTTCGGTAGCTAAGCATTGTATATGAGTAAGATAAAGATTTTTATATTTCAGGAGTAGGGGTTTTCCAAAGGGGGGTGTGGCAGGCAAATAGGAGTTGTGGGAAAATAACAAGTTAGTCATAACAACCTCCAGACAAAGACGTGGTTACAAGGTTATCATAACAAGGTGGTCATAACAAGGTAGTTGTAACAACAGATAGTCTTCATAACCTTTAGAAACAAAGGCATGGTTGCTGTTTCCCAGAAAGGTGAGTACAGAACCATTTGTAGTTAAGGTTACAGGTGGGGCTTAGCCCAATCCTTGAAAACCAGATTTAATCATAAAGAGTAATGAATCTAGTTTATCTTTACTATGAGATGTCTTTCAAGGCTAAGATGAAGGCAGGCTGGGTTATCAATCAACCTGTTGATGAGAAACATAGTTCTCACCTGTAAGGGGATGAGAGAGAGAGAGTTGCTCTGGGCCTTGGTGGGATCATCACTTTGGATTGTTCTGAAGGGCAGGTTCCAGCATGGATGAACTTTTAGAGCTGCAAAACAAAGGCCATAAATCAGTGCATTTGCCAAATATATTGACGAAGACATCGAATAGGCAGTTAAATCGGGGAAAAGCATTATTATGGGTTTTGGAGACTGTCTCATGGCTTGCTTTTGCTTTATGGCTAGTGGAAGCCAGTTGTCTGCTATTCACACATTCCAAAGATTTTGCTGATAATTTCCAGAAGTGACCAGTGAACGGCTGTTAAGGGAACTGTGGTGGTTTGAACAGGATTAGCCCCTATAGACTCATTTTTTTGAATGCTTGGTCTCCGGAGAGTGCCCTCAAGGCCACTGGAAGTTGACCGTGCTCGAGTGAATATATGGCAATACATTTGGACCTGATGAGTTTTTTAATCCTTTTCTTTAGGGGAGATCACAAGGGGGGGTGGACCTGGGAAGACTGGGAAGTGAATGTCACTGGGGTCCATTATATGCAACTCCCAAATAATCGATAATAAGATGTTGGGAAAGAAAAAAGCAATGGTGGCTAATGTTCTCACTCAGTTCTCCATGCACAGTGTTTTAGTTTTAGTGCAACTAGGCTACATCTTTCCCTCCTAACCTTTGTGCAGGTTTGTCTTTTAGGCTGTCACAATTACCTAGAATACAGTTTCCCAGCCTCCATATTGTTGAGGTGGATCTAGGAATATTTTAGTCGTGGAAGTGCCATATGTGCCTGTTTATGAGGTTGGCCTCTTCAGAATCTCCCGACAACACCCACACCGGTTCTCTAACAAGTAAAGAAAAGCAAATTCACTCAAACCAATACCTTCTCCACATACTTTATTCCCTTTCCCCGTGTCTCTCTGTGTTTGCTTCCACTTCTTTCCTGTGGTCAACACTTTCTAATATTTCCATTCATTAGAAATCTGAGAGGCAGGGATTACCAAGGAAACCAGAGCCCATTGCTGCATAAAGCTCTTGTAGGAAGCAATTCCCTTAAAATTCCCCTAAGGCAGATAAAACGCACACCGTGATGTGTAGAAGAAGAAAGAGTGCCAGAAACCTGGTTAATGAGGTCAAAAGAAAAGATAAATGTCAGCAACTCTCTCTCTCTCTCTCTCTCTCTCTCTCTCTCTCCCTCACACGCACACATACATACACACAGTAATTTGAGTATAAAAGGGTGAATATAGCAGAAAACACTCAAACATATACATAGTAGCTAGTACATAGGTATCCTATCTATTAAGCATGTGTGTCCACAAACAGAAATGTAAGTCCTTCTTTATAAGGAATATATAGCATACTTCAAGATCTCTGCTTGAAGCAAATGCTCCCAGAAGTATATGGTGTACCTAAATCAAATAGCTTCATCAATCCTATTAGTAACATGAAAACCAAGTAAAACAGCCCCAGCTACTGATGAATATTTGTAACCATAAACAAAAGAGTAAATTGAATTTACTTATCGATGTGTTCCAAATAATAAGATAGTTAAATGTCCCTAAACTAACTGCAAGATTGGTCCCTCATCTCATAGTAGAGAGGGAACTCTGAAATAACCTTCAGATGACCCAATTGGTGAATTGTACAGGAGTGTAGTTCCTAATATTCAGATCAGGCCAGACCCGAGAAGCCACCAGAGTTTAGTCTCAAAGGGCAAGGCAGACTGACAGTGGCAAATTGGTGCACCAACATTGCTTGCTTTGACTCAGAGTAACTCGCCATAAGCAGGTCATCTGACCTGCTGCTTGTTTCCGTATGACTAAGATGGGAATTATAGTAATTTCTGTTCACATAGTATTGTAAGAGTTAAATGAATAAATGCCTGTGCGCCACTTACCAGTGTGGTGTTTATGGCAATTTCTTAAAAAAGAACCCCAAAATTTTTGTTAAAAAAGAAAATTTATATAGAGATGTGTGTTTGACACTCTTACTGAAGTGATACATAAATGTCTCTCTTTGAAAGATGTTCACCTAATTACTGAGTGTGCATTCCTTGGACTATACAGGACTCCATGCCTTGACCAAGCAAGATTCATTCCATCAAATGGCATGAGGTTTGGAGTAGGGATAATTTGACGGTGCGGAGAAAACAGTGCATGTGGCTGTTGAACTCTTACAGAATGTGAGATCAACATTTTGCTTTAAAGTGCAGTATCTTATCTAACATTCCCAAAGACCAATTGAATGGCTAACAAGGCCCTGTTCCTAATCCCCAAGGTGAGCTGAGGGGAAGGGTGCTTTTAAGCTGTTGGCAAGCCTACCATAGATATCTCCCTTCAGGAAGGGCCCTCTCAGCCCTGATGACTTTCCTGGGAATCAGCTCTCCCTGTGCCCACCATCCTCTGTTTTTCCAGCTTCCCAAAGAAAGTACACTCAGGAACCACTGGTCGATTAGGTAATGGGTTAGATTTATCTTTTACACAATGATTTATATAGGAGCTGGAGAGATGACTCAACAGTTAAGAGTGCTCACTGGTCTTGCAGAGTATCAGTTTTGTTCATAGCACCCACAACCACCTATAACTCCAGCTCCAGAGAGTTACACTCCAATACCCCACCCTCAGGCAACACACATGTTAGGTCCATAGGCACATTCAGGTACATACATACACAGAAAAAAGATTTAGGGAAATCTTTTAAAACTGCTTTGTAGACCCTCCTTACCCTATATTCAATTATGCATTATTTCCAGAACTTAAAGTAACAACAACAATATTCTCAAAGGAACAGAGCAAAGGGGTCAGATAAAGCAATCCTTGCTGTCAATCACAGGATCCTGTAAAACAGACAAATTCCCTGTCCATGAGTCCTATGTTTTTTATGGAAATGAGTGTTCATAGCTCCCAGCTGTGTTTGGGGTGTGACGTCTGTTTATCCAGACACAAAGCCTTGGTACAAATGATCTCTGCCGCACGGGTTACTGTTACTTCTAAGAGTGTCCCTCAATGTGGCCTTGTTGGAGGAAGTATGTCACTAGGGGGAAGAGGGGCTTTCATTCAGCGCACGCTCTCTCTCTCTCTCTCTCTCTCTCTCTCTCTCTCTCTCTCTCTCTCTCTTCTTTCCCCCCCTCCCCTCTCCCCCTCCCTCCTCTCTCTATCTCTCTCTCTCCCCCTCTCTCTCCCTCTCCCTCCCTCTCTATCTGCCACTTCTCTAGCACCTGCCTGCATGCTGTCATGCTCCTCACCATGATGCTAATGGACTAAACCTCTGAAACTGTAAGCAAGCCCCCAAATAAATGTTTTCCTTTATAAGAGTTGCCTTGGTCATAGTGTGTCTTCACACCAATCGAACACTGAGTAAGACAGGCATGTACCACCATGCTTGGCTTTGTTGTTGCTGTGTTTTTTTTTTCAAAAAGTTAGGAGTAAATTCAAATTCTATAATGTGTGTATGAATATATGTGTTTGTGTGTACGCAGGTGAACACATGTATGGAGGCCAAAGGACAACCTCATCTGTCATTCTTCAGACACCACCTGCCTTGGGACTTTTTACCTATATTTTTCTTTTTGAGATAGAGTTTACTATGAAGCCTTGACTGGCTTGGAACTCACTATGTAGATCGGGCTAGCCTTGGAGTCATTTTCGACTCTACCCCTCAAGTACTAGGATTAAAGGCATGTGCCCCCACACATGTTTAATTTATTTGCTTTTGTGTGTATGGATGGATGATTCACCTGCATGTATGTCTATGCAGCATGTTCTGTAGTGACCACTGAAGCCAGAAGAAGGTGTTGGAAGCCCTGGAACTGGAATTATGGATGGCTGGAAATTGCTATGTGGGTGCTGAAAATCTAATCTGGGTCTGCTGAAAGAGCAGCCTGTGTTCTTAACAACACCTCTCCAGCTGCCACCTTGAGTTTTGAGACAGGTTGTCCCATAGCCATTAGCCTAGGCATAGGTTAGACGAGCTGCAAGCAAGAACCAGGAATGTGCCTGTCTTTGCTTCCACAACTCTGGGATTTCAAGCATGTGCCACCACTCCCAATTTAAGGATTCAAACTCAAGGTCCTAATGCTCCTGTGGCAGGCATTTTACCAACTGAGCTCAGCCCTGGTTCTTTTTGTTGTTATTGGTTTGTTTTGTTGTTTGTTTTGTAGTTTTGTTTTTACTTTTAATGGACATTGTCAAATGATTTTTATTAA